TTGTTGCGAGGAGAATTTTTTTTTGGTTTCGGAGTTCATCTATCGAAAACTGTGCTGAGTACATAGCTTTTCAGTAGTTCCAGACTGGCTGCAAAATAACCCGACAAAAATTTTTTTTTGGAAAAAGTCGAAAAATTAAAAAACAAAAAAAATAAAATTAATTGTTCTGAGTAGCTTTCCAATAGTTTCGGAGTTACTTAAAAGGAAATCTCGAAAAAGTTAAATGTTTGAAAAAGTAAAAATTAAAACTGAGTAGCTTAACAATAGTTCGAGAGTTCCTGAAAAAAAACTTTCTGCAAAATTAAGGCGAAAACAAAATTTTTTTTCACATAAGTCGAAAAAGGTAAACTTTTGAAAAAAAAAATAAAAATATGACTTTTCTGAGTAGCTTTTCAGTATTTCTAGAGTTCCTGAAAAGGTAAAAAAAGGTACTAAAAAAGTTTTTTTGGATAAAGTCGAAAAAGTAAATTTAAAAAAAATTTATTGTTCTGAGTAGCTTTACGATAGCTCCAGAGCTGCTTAAAAGGAAAAAAGTTCTGCAAAATCAAGCCAAAAAAAATTTGTTCAAAAAAGTCGTAAAAATTTAATTTTTGAAAAAATAATTAAAAATTAAGATTTTCTGAGCGGCTTTTCAAAATTTCTAGAGGAAAAAAAAACACCTATGTAAAACTACACGAAAAAAGCATTTTTTCAAGAAAGTAGAAAAAGTTAAATACGATCTAAAAAAAAATAAAAATTAAAACTGTTCGAAGTACCTTTTCAATTCCGAGTTTCTGAAACGAAAAAAAAAAAACATTTTTTTTAAGTCGAAGAAGTTTAATTTTTGGCAGAAAATTTAATTAATTAAACTTTTCAGGAGTTCTGGAACTACTGAAAAGCTACTCAGAACAATTTTATGTTAAGCCAACTTCAGAGACCTTAAAGGCGACCTCTAGGCTCAGCCTATTTTATAAATTGCCTTACAAAAATAGTGTAGGGTGTACAGCGAACTTTTTTTGTTTGCTTGAAATATGGTACGGTCTAATGTATACGCCTAGGCGTAGACGTACCTGTATTTATTTCTACAAATACTCATAAATAATTTAGCTCTTAGTGACAGAAAATTCACGCAAATATATTCTTTTATAAATATTTAGTTTCATAAAATCAAACGAATGCCCTTGAGACTTTCATCATGTAAAACAGCGAGATTTTCTTTTTTAATGCGAAATATAAAGAAAATTTGTTTGAAATTATTATATTCTTAAGGAATTTCATCTTAGAAAATGAAATTCGTATACTCGCACAGAGTATACAAAATGCTTTTGTATTCCAAGCAAACTAGTTTTTTGGTGAGAAGTAGATACTAAAGTTCTTAAGTTCATATACTCACACACATACGCATACTTATTTATGCCCATTGAAAACCATTCATATAAATAACTTTGCAAATGTACTTATTATGCTGTAATGCCTCGTCTGCAATTTACTTCAACTGTCTGACAAGTCATTTTTAGTTCTCATTGTCGCGTCCTCATCACTGCTCTCCCACACCCACCCAGTGCACTAAGCCTGACTACATTTATTTTTATACATACATACATACATATGTATGACATGTGCCTGTTGTAAATGTCAACCGCATTTCTTAGTGAACTATTTATTTTTTTCTTAAAAAATCTAGCAAACGTCTACACTTTTAGTATGTGTTCACACAATATACGTATGTATATACGAGGGCAATTTTTATTAAGCTCGACACATTAAAGGCCGTTTTCTCAAGTAGGTTTTAAAATTTATCTGTCCTTCAAACACTTTTTTTTCAGAAAAAAATTTGGCGACCTTAACGGTGGCAGTCACTTGTGCGTTGGGTACGATCACAACGGAACTCAGTAAACCACTTCTTAAGCATTGAAATTGATGGTGCAGAATCCCTTAAGTATTTACAAGTCTTTTCTTGGTTTCGGTTATGGAACTTTTATGCAACAAATAATGCTCAATCAGCACACCAAATTCACTTTTTCAATTTCCGGTCAAATTCTCCAGGTTGTCTGCCAAACACAAAATGAATGGCGCAGCTTGCTCAAAATTTTACAGTAGTCTGTTAATTTATGTCAGTTGACGGGACTGACTTTTCAAATTGTCCTCGTATAACTATTCATATATAAGTATGCATACATACATGTACATATACATATACACTCACTTATCGCATTTGAAAATGTATAGAAATTTATGAATTTTATTAAGAATTTCAATTTACGCTACATACAGATGTAGGTATTTTCTTTGGAAGTGATACTTGAAATATTTTTGTGCCCAAGAGATTATTATTATATGAAAGAATAAGTTTACATGATGACGCTGAATGTTGAAACTAGTTAAAATGTGTGTATGTATGTATATACGTTGATATATGTTCATGTAAGGAATTACGCATGTTAGTTATCTGAAGAATGTTTCTTATTTTAAAGCAATAGTGATTTAGAAGTATTCATTAAGAGATTCATAAAGATTTTGCCAAGTGGTACTTGTAACAGACGTCAAGCACATATACCTTCATATGGGTGTTTCCATGTAAATTTAAACCACGACTGAAAAATAAAAACAACTGAATTTTTATAATGTGGTACTATTTACAGCTTATTGAAATTTTAAAACTCAATAAGGGAAGAGTAAAACTGAATGAAATAAACTTTTTTCTCTTTCCTAATAACTAAATTAAGCGAACATAAACATTACTATTTCATCTTAAAATTAAATTTGCAATGACAACTAAATATAAAAATGAGAAAAGGGTGAAGCTAGAGCTCGAATAACGGTATTTTTTTTATTTGCTTTTGATAGTAATTTAATGTCGCCTACGTTATGCAGAAACATTGTTTGTCTATGTAATTTACATATATACTATCGTACCCGGCGAACTTAGCCTCGCCCAAAAATAATTTTTTGTAGGAAAATGTTGGTAGATCACGACTTCCAGTGGCACATTTATGACGCATATCTTCCATTGCCACTTTAAATAGCATAACGAAAGCGTTGCGTCCGTGAAGAAGTTCTTGCATTTTTCCAATGATCTAGCGTTTCATAGCACAGTTAATCGCACAACGCTGATCAGTTTCGATATTAGAGTTGCCAGCGAAATAAATTTGAATTAATATTTTTTTTTTTTTGCTGATGGTGTTGTGCATTTTCTTCCATACATATTAAGTATGCTCGACACTTTAGTTTGTATGGGAGAAAATGCCTAGCACCATAAGCAAAAAAAATTATTAAAAACACTGGTTTACAGCAAAAATGTTCTCTGGATGGCACTATGTATACAATTCCTATGTAGAGTTGCTCAGTGATTCCGAAGATCGAGTTATTCGCGCAGGTTGCGCAATTCACTTCCGAGTGAATCTCAACCCCTGCCAATTTGAATTCAAAGCGAAATTTACTCAAATTCACTCGGAAGTGAATTGCAGAACCTGCCGGATTATTTTTTTTTATGGATACGTTTTCAGATATTTGCAAATTACCGTTATTCAGCTTAAAAAAGTAGTGGTTTCCCTTAATCACGTATATCGTACGAACAAATTTAACAATCTTAATATGAAATACGGCAAATGCAAGCTAATAATAAAACATAACAGGTTCTGTGCCAAATCTTTGCATTTGTGCTAAAGCCTATTCTGTTACAAAAAAAAAAAAAAATCAAGTTACTAATGAAGAAAATCGATGGATAAATAAACAAGTAATGAGTGGTCAAATGAAAATGCGCAGAGATTTTTTGTATGAAATATGAGCATAAAAGCGTGCTACTTAGGTGTACATGGCGCATGAGAAACATTATTTCCTGACACTTTTGTTTGTATGGGAGAAAGTGCCTAGCACCATCAGCAAAAAAAATTTTTAAAAATCAATGCGATTTCTAGCGTCTTGAAATTTGCACTTTCAAATTTTTGAGTGTAATAGTTAAAGTTTGTTGAATTTTCAAAATTTTTGTATGTACAAAGTTTAAAATTTGGATTTGTGTGGCGCTGGTTAGATAAGAATAGCCAAAACTAGTCAAAAATTTCACTTGACTTAATCCGCTGACCACAACTGTATGTACGAGTAGGTATTACTAGTACTGGAGTAAAAATATAATTATTGCTTTAAAAAAAAAAAAAAAATGTATAAAAATTCAAAACCTTTCCAAAACCCTGGGATTTTTGTGGAAAAAAACTAATCCGACATATCCGTTATTCAAATCGATGTGTATTTAAAAATGGCATATTATAATTAAATTTCTGGATTAGTAAGAAAAATCAATTTTCGTATGAAAAGAATTACATAGAAGCAGCTGGCCTTATTAACCAAATATCTAAAAAAATTGCCTTCTGTTTATTAAAAATAGATTAGATAGTTTGGCCGAGCTTCTCCTCCGATTTGTGGCGTGCGCCTTGATGTTGTCACACAAAAGGGAAGCGGACCTACAGTTTTACGCCGACTCCGAACGGCGTTTGTATTTTTAAGCGAAGCTATTTTTCATGGCAGAAATACACTCGGAGGTTTGCCATGGTCTGCCAAGGGGTGACCGCTATTAGAAAAATGCTGTTTTTTTTAGGTTGGGTTGCACCTGGCTTGAACCCAGGCCCTGCGTAGTGATAGTGCGCACTGTTAACGACTCCACCACTGTTTATTACGCATTAAAAACTTAATAACAATAAAAGTTCAATTGTTTACATATGAATCTGTTCGATAGTGCATATTATTGCAAATATTCTAAGGTACAAATATTTTAAATCGGTCAATGTTTACTACATTTCCATAAAGCTTTGATACATGTCTTTAACTTAATAAATTAACAATTGTAAAGCTGCCAATATAAGCTTATAACTCCAATACATACATACATAAATGCTTTAACAATAATTTTAAAGTCTCATAAAAATTCAATTGGCAATTTTATAAAACTTGGAACTTAACCTAAAAATCTCAAACGTGTACATACATATGTATGTATCTCAACTCATATTGTTGCAAGTTTGGCACTCAAACAATAAAACACATACCTCTAGATATGAGTCCATATTGTATGTAAAACTACTTATCGTTTTGCAAAGTGGAACCATCTTCATTGCTGGAAGGTGAAATTTTCAATTTTTCCAACTCAGGTACTCGACCGGATATCGAAATATCAATGAATTCCGCATCGGGATCAATTGACAAACCGCCATCTGCAGCAGCTAGGTCATTTACGGCAATATCATTGGACAAATTTTTCGGTACAGCATCAAGCGAGTCAATTTCATTACCCAAGTCATTCTTGTCATCCTCCTTCTTTGCCAGATCTTTTTCCAAATCAGCCCATTCTGATTCGAACACGGGATTCATTTCTACAATTTTTTCTTGCTCATCGTCGTCGGATGATGCATCCTCGCGATTCTTATTGCTGTCATAATTTTGGTCGCGTTTCTCATTGGGCTCGACGTCACCAGGCACATCAACCACCTCACCAACAGATGCTTCGGGCTCGGTAACTTCAGCAATTTCAGCTATTTGAGCTGCGGCTTCTTCGACATTTTCTGCTACCTCTACAAGTTCTTCTTCCGCGCTTTGTTCTCGTTTTCCATTGCCTGCTTCTGCCTCTTCAAGACTATTGTCTGTAACAAATGTAGCACTTAAGTTGGCGGCATCGTCTTCATTTGTTTCTGGCAGCATTTTACTTATTAATTTAGTCAACGATGGCTAAAATTTCGGTAAACGTTAAAATGCGAGAATTCTAAAATAATAGTGATTATACGTACAAATATTCAAATTTGAAGCCGAGGCTAGTGATTGCTCGTTGTTAATGGTTAACTGCTAGAATGATTGCTTAATCACACCTAGATCTGCTTATATACAAACGGATCAGTAAACAAAAGCAACATCTCGTGCTCATACTCCCTCTCTCTCAACGCGTCAACTAAGCAAACAATCGCCCTGCAGTGAAAACCGAAATCAGTTAGAAAAAAATACCAGTTCATTAACTGGTATGAGCTATTGCGCGGTTCGACAATTTCGTATAACTTATGCGACCAGCAACATCTACCTTTGAATCCTCAAAGTCAAAACTAAAACGCACTTAACTGCTTTTCTCATAAATGGATATCGAGTGATGACTACCGCTTCTGGTTCTGATAACGAAGGTTCGAATTCAATTTAAGGTAAATAATATTTTTCAAATTATGTACTTAAGTAAGTAAATATCAAATAATTCCTTTTAGAGAGAAGTTACAAATTTGTGAGTTTAATTTCATTTGGAAATATTTAAATCTAAATACTTAAACTGCCGGTTTCTCGAAAGCAATTTAAGCGAAAAATTATATTTTTCTGGCAGTTCCCATATTAAACTCAAATATAAAAAAATAATTTTTCACTACAATTGTTTTCTTGAAACTGGCTATAATTATCATAGAAATTAAATGAGATTAAAAAAAAATTATTTATACAAAAATTCTTAAAAAACAATTATTAAAATTACAGTAAAAAACTCAAGCATCTTATTAAAAAGAACTGGCTATAATTATCATAGAAATTAAATGAGATTCCAAAAAAAAAATTGTATAAAAAAAAATCTTAGAACCAAAACAATTAAAATTACAATTAAAAACTCAAGTATCTAATTTAAAAAAAAAAACTTAATACTGTTTTTAGTTCCTTGTCAGATTTGCAAATTGGCTGTAATTAATACCTTCTTGTGTGCATCGATACGTTTCTAATAAAAAATTGATTACACGGTGTTACACTGACCACGAACTTTTTAAATGACCTAGTACAGGTTTTAATTCACGAAACTGAGTTTAAAATTTTTCTAACACCCTCTAACTCTCGACTTCTTCCTAAAAAACCATTTTACAGAACTTCTCGCACCAAATAATTTTTAGCTCGGTTATTTTTTTTATTCAATTTTAAGTTTTTAGAAGGCTTCGGAAAGAGAAATACTTATACTATTTTATGAAGTAATAAGTTTCGTGAGGACAGTGCAAATATGTGGGAAATTTTTCGAATAAATCTGAAATTTACTCCAATTTTTATTATTTTTTCTAATTTCTAAAAATTTCGAAGAAAATAGCCTATTTTAGTTATTACTTCCAAAAGAATGTTTCATTCCGAGGTAAAACTAGGTGCCATTTATAAAAATCAGTAGACACATTCGGAAGTAATGAATTTTCTAAAAAAAAAATCCAAAATCACTTCAATGCAATTTCAAAGAAAATGTGAATCAGTTGGATTGAGGTTTCAATAGTTCGTCTAGGAAAACTTCAATTTGCCTCTTTAGAAAAAAATGATTAAAAGAGGCTGTTTTCTTCTAAAGTTTTGGCAAAAAATGTTGTAGACGTAGAAAATTTAATAAAAATGGGTGTAAATTTCAGATTTATTCCAAGAATCGACCACATATTTAAAATATTCTCAGAAAACTTATTATTTCTTTAAATATAAAAAAATATTCTTCTTTATTAGGACATGCAAAAACTTAAAATTGGTTAAAAAATAACCGAACTAAAAACCTTTTATTGCCGGAAGTCATGAGAAAATGGTTTTTTAAGAATACATTCAAAATTCTGAATACAAGTACATCGAGTAATAAATCGCCAGACGACATTTTAGTGTCAGCAATAAAAATGCTTGAACAAAAAGATGACAAATGGACAGTTTCCGGGCAATATATGGCAATGCAGATGAGGAATATTTCTGCTGGAAAGTTGATTTGCCAAAAACTCCACCATCGGAAACTCGTCCATTGCAGACAACATCAATATATACGAATTTATACTCTGCGTCTGCAATAGCCATTAGGACTATGCCATGAGTCCCTTTGTAATTAAAGTAGGCACTTCCGCATCGCGTCGGAGCTTCCATTAGGATGTGCTTCCCATCAACTGCTCCTATGCAGTTGGGGAAATTCCATTTTTCATTGAATTTTCTGGCGATTTCATTCCATTGATCTTCATTGGATGGAACCTAAGAAATGAATAATGTAAAATTAAATTTTTCGTTTATACTATAATGGGTGTATATTTACCTGCAAATATTCATCTTTGAGTGTTTTGTAAATTGCATCACAAACTTCCGGTATGAATAAGGATATAGTGTTGGGCGCAATACGAAAAACTACAGATAAGCTTTTAAAACTGTCCCCTGAAGCGAGAAAGCGCAGTGTACAAGCCAAACGTTCACAGTCTGGAACCGCTTTTCGCATATTTGTATCATTCTTTTTTACAAATGGAGAAATCTTTTTAAGAAGTTCGTTGAAAGTCGTTTCGTTCATACGTAAGTAATTTTTAAACAAATATTTTTGATTATTTATTTCCCGGAACTCGCGCAAAGCGCCCTCGGTGCACCTTTTAAGGAGCCATTCGTTCACCCAAACACTTCGTGGAGTCATATTTCTTTTCTTTCTAGGAATACTATTCTCTTCAAGACATCTTTTCCGTTTTATATAATAACAAATGTATATAATCGCTGCGAGTTTCTTTTGCCTTTGCGTATCCATTATTTTTTGTATATTTCACTTAAAATCTCACAATATGTATCATAGATGCAAAAGTATGGTTGACAACTGATCAGCTGTTTAAGTATTTATGACCAAATGGTTAAACCGTGTGTATGAACGTGGACAATATTTGTCACTTTTCTGTCGTGTGCAAATGTGTGACAAATCATTTGGAGCTTTAGCAGCCAAATCGCCTGATCGCAAAACAAATCATTTGCACATCGATATCCAAATGCGCAAATGTGAACGAATCTAAATTTGGCATTTTCTGTACAAATGTACAAATCGTGTGATCCCTGCTTCAGTTACATTATAAACTCAAGCATGGGCAGTCAACGCACCAAATTTTGCAACGTAAAAATAAAAAAATAATAGGAGAGTCACACTTTTATTTGTGAAAATTTCCCAATTTTATATCTGAATTATATGCATATTTGGTTAGAAAATATGTACGATGGTCCTTGTTTTGCATTTGCATAATCTACACAACATATGGTAACCTGATGTTTGTTCATAAACCAGCGAAAGTGATGTGTCCGAATAAAAGCTGTCGAGTCATGCGAAAGTTCGAACAAATTGAGAATTGCCCATACCCAGTTTTAGCATCGAAATATCCAAATTCAGAGGAAGTATCAATTATAACATTTGGTTCCATCCGTGACCCAGCATGCGAAGAAATGTTCAATGAATTGGGTGGTGACAGTTATTTCGAAAGAATAAAGTTTACAAGTCAAAACTTTTCACCCAACAAGAATTAAATGGTTTGATAAGGAACCTGGCATTATTTGAGAATCTGATCAAGTATTGGCTTATGGATTAAAAGAAAACTAATTTTGGCGCTGGGAACAAAAGTGGCGTTCTATTGGCAAAAAAGCAAGACTAGATACCATTTTTCAATTGGGAAAATGATACCTATTGCTTTTTATTCAAATGCACATTTACACAATGGTAACAGGTTTAGTTCCCAATGCCTATTCTGCAAAATAAAATAAAAATATTAAATTCAAATTAGTACAGCAAAGAGAACATACCAAATACTTATGGATTTAATGTCTATGAGACAGGTAGTGCAAAGAATCCACACTGGGAAAAAAGAGGTCGGCTGTGAGTTAGGAATGCGGAATATCGTAGGTCCACTCTATTGTCCCCTTGAACATAAAGCTTGGCCTTGTAAAAGAGTTTACCAACAACTAAATTAGCCAATGTTTTTCTTACATAATGAGACAATTTCCTGGTCCTGGTACAGACAAGATAAAAGCGGGAATTTTCGTTGGCTCACAAATATGGATATTAAAAAAGGATGCTGATTTCTTAAGTGCAAAAAACGATTTGCAATGTCCTCCGTGGACTTTTTTAAGTTACTGAAAATTGTATGGAAAAATGTTAGTCAAGTAACTACTCCGAAATAGTAAACGACATGCTGGAGAGCTTAAAAACATAAGATGTAGTGTGGCCATAAAAGTGCACTACGCACACGGTCATCTTGACCAATTATGGTCAGTTTTATCTAAAAAATGTGGAAGAGAAGTACCAAGGTCGATGGGATAGTCATATGATGCCTGACTATCGCTCACCTCATTCACGAAAGTCGCGAAAGAGAAAATTTGTGTACCCGATGGCAATAAATGCAGTTTATGATTCTAAAAGAATTATAGCTCCTTGCCACCAAAACCACTGTTCACCAGTGTAATTGGTGACCCTTTTAGCCCATGAGGGCCTTCATAACATCGTTCTAATTGGTAGTATATATTCTAGTACACATGTGAAAGCTTTCCCTGCAGGGCATCTACACCAGTGGTTGACTTTAGAGAGAGTGAAAATGTGTTTGTGGGCGCAGAGTAGTTGCGCTACAGTGGTGCAAAAAGCGAAATGTAAAGGCTAGATGTGACAGGCTTGCGAAAGAAGAATACTTATAATAAGTATAGAGCTTCAATAGATACAACTACTTGATATGTGCGCCGAGCTGTGTTTCAATAACAACGTCCAGCTTGCTATTAGCCCTTCTGGTTTGTTTCGATTTTGCCCCTTAAAATTTGTTGGGTCATTCTAACCCAATTTTATAAACGTATACATTTCAAGAAAGGGAGCCATTATTCTAATTTTAATTCAGTAATTTTTATGCAACTTAGTTAATTTCATACGCATTGATGTTATTTTTATATAAGCACTTTTGGAATAAAGTTACAAGTTTTTTATTGCGTTTTTTTAATTGGTATTTTATTGAATTAAGTGTAAATAGATAATAGAAACGTAGATTTCTTTCACATAATATCGATTCAGAAAAGTTTCCGAATTTATCACCTCATTTCAAGTTCCACTATGTAAATAG